CCCACCCAACTGGCCTCCTTTGCCCCTAGCAATTCTTATATTTAGTATCTTTGTGCTGGGATAACCCTTGAAATCTGAGGCTGATTTGTAGAAGAAGAAGTAGTAGATTGATACCCTTCCAAGGACCTCTACTATTAGAAAAGAGCTTCAAATTGATGACCAGAAATGTGTATAGCGTTGTCTGGATAAATTGAAATAAAAAGGGAAAACAGGTAAATTAGCTGATTTCCCAACTTTGTGTTGCCTCCATCATGGGCTGAGCAAATGTCAGCTACTTGGTGCCCACCTCCATTGCCTCAGAGGTTTTCAGTGGACTCTGCTGCCTGATAAGCATAGGCCAAAAGACCTTAGCTGATAGGAAAAATGGAAAGGTAGGGAGGGTAATTGTTTTGTTGGGCATAGGATGGATTTAAAGCAGACTGGGAAAAGGAAGTTGGATGGTTAGGCCTGGTTCAAATATGTCTACCCAAAAAGAAGTAGAATGATGTCCTTCTCAATGACACCAGAGTGCAAATACCGTATTTTTCGCTCTATATGACACACTTTTCCCACTCCCAAAATTAAGTGGAAATGTGTGTGCATCCTATGAGGTGAATGCAAGCTCCTTGGCTTCAGCGATAGCAACGCAAAGCCTCCACAGCGCAGAGGGAGCGCTTTATCTTTTTTTGTAAGCTGCTTTGAGTTTTGTTGGTTTTTAACAAATAATAAATGAATGCTCATACCCATGTACTGAATAATATCTAGCCAGGGAAAGAATTTGTTGCAATTCTAAGCGGTTGTGGGGAGTTAAGCTGTGCATAATTTTGCCAGCATGCCCGGCAAGGGTAGGAAGCTGGTGCTGTGATTGCATGTTTATTTTTCTCTTGCTGACAATTTTATAATTCTGTCCCTTACCTCTGAAAGAAATGGGAACCTCAAATTTGAGACTGGTATATTTAAGGCAGCAGATCCAGGGAACTATCAGGGGATTGAGGAGGCAGCTGGATCCAGTGGATTCAAGACTATTCTGTTGCCGATTAAGATGTATCTACACAAATCATAGTTAATACAAAACATAGTTAAAATGCAATACATGCTTAACACAAAAATCTATGCATGTTACCTTATATTTTCATTGTTTGTTTCATATTTAACAGAAACAGAATGAATGGAATGAAGCGGATGGCCAACATTTTTATCCAGCATTATGATCTTCAAAAGTCATCCATCACTTATCCTTAATGCTTAATGTTATCAAATCATACTGGCTCCCCCCAAATATATATATATATTTCCCAGAAAAGATCATAGATCTAAAATTGGGAACTTACCGTACTTCATTGAAGCAACACCTGCAATTTTATCACTGGTAGGGATATCAAATGGTCTGATCCACTTTGATAAAATACAGTTTATAATATGAAAAGTTTAAAATATAACAAAGGGCAAATATACCCAAAGAAGCATTAGTGCAAAATATTTGCACACACATTTCTTGCTGTAGACGTTTGAACTCCTAGTGAGGAGTGCAGCCTAAATAATGGACTGGTGCATAATTGCAACAAAGCTCTTTTTTAAACCACAGCGATTTTCTGTTCCTTAAAAAATAAAATAAAACAGGCACCAGAAAAATGTTTTTTTAATCATTATATAATTAAAAATAACTTGCAAAAAAGTTTAATGTTTTGATTATATTAATAAAGATGTTGATACGATTTATATTGATATTTTGGATTTGTTCATACAATGTTCTGACTATGGACATATTAACACCATCAAAATTCTTACCATCAATACCTGTGGTTTCCTTTTTGTGGTTTTCAACAAAACCATGTGTCATAATGTCTATCATCACTGATCAAATGTGGACAACTATCTCTCCTCTGCTCTGTCTTATTATTTCTTACTGGTGTCTTTGGGGTGCCCTACTGCTGGACTATACACAAATAAAAAGTGTCGTGCTTTGTTTTTATAGGTCACAGTAGAAACTCCTCATTGAATCATTTCGGTGCTGACTTGTATACATACGGCACTACCAAATGTTGCAGTGCTTATTCCTGAAACTCATTACATCAGCAGAAGCATTTCTGCTTTCCAGATGGATCTCCCCCCCCCACACACACACATTCAGTGTTTTGGGGAGATTGTCCAATCCCCACAGCTGATTTGGGGCATGCACTGGGAAGGGGGAAGGGAACTCAGTTGCTCTAGCAGGATTAGTAGTGCTGGCTCCCACTAGGTGAACTGTTTAGTTGAATCCAGCCCATAGATTGCAAACAGCAAAAATAATGCAGAGTGAGTAACTAGAAGGCACTGCTAAACCCAGTGTCAGGATGCTGTCAGCAGCTCCTGGCCGGTTGCCCAGGAAAGTATGAAGACAAGGAAAAGTTTCTTACCATCCTTTTTTTAAAAAATATTACAGAGAGAGGCTATAGAACCCTGCCACTTGGATAATGACATTGTCCTGAGTGAATCTCCAGCCTGGTCTCTCCCACTTCCTCATTCATCACTTCTATGGGGGCTGCTAAGTGCCCTTTGTCTTTGAGCTCTTTGGTCTCCTAGTTCTAAGGCTCACCGGGTTCTGGGAGACGGGGGGGTCTGGAATGCTTTCTAATGATGTGTCAGCCAGGTAGCCAGGTGTTGCTCTGGTTCTCCCATGATTTCCCAACTTTCCGCCTCATCTGCCTCTGAGCTGCAACTTGCCTCAACCCCCTGTTGTAAATCTATACTATCTTCCTCGTCCTCCTCCCTGGAAGGATCAGGAAGGGGAGGCAGTCTCCACCACTCCTCCTCTGTTCAGTCCCTGACACCCAGGCACCTGCAGGCAATACAGAACTGAACCCACCCACCCTCCTGCTGCCACCAATAAGTGATGCCAGCTGATGGACAGGTGGGTGTGGTTTAGAGTAAATACAGTGGTACCTCGGGTTAAGTACTTAATTCGTTCTGGAGGTCCGTTCTTAACCTGAAACTGTTCTTAACCTGAAGCACCACTTTAGCTAATGGGGCCTCCTGCTGCCGCTGCGCCGCTGGAGCACGATTTCTGTTCTCATCCTGAAGCAAAGCTCTTAACCCGAGGTACTATTTCTGGGTTAGTGGAGTCTGTAACCTGAAGCGTATGTAACCTGAGGTACCACTGTAGCCATATTAAACCCTCTGGCAGTATAATATTGGGCCATGTGCCAGAAAGCCCCCACATACGCTGAGCAAAATGAAATCACATGATGTGTCGTTTTTTGAATTTGACAGCTCAGTCCTCTTCTGATAGTAGCAGGGACTGCATCAGCCTTTATATGCAGGGATTTGGCAAGCACCGTTCACCCACACGTGGAAGATTTTGGGGCCAGACAATGGAAGGGGCAAGGCAAGGGGCACCCACCCACCCTGCAAATTCTAAGTAGGCACTCTTAAACCACTGCCCAAGAGTGCAATGGTGCCAGAAAGGTATACTTTCTTCAGTGCCATTATGCCAGTGCAATGCTGTGTGTGTATCTGGGATTGGTCATACTTGCTATAAGACTTCTGCCATTTGCACTCCAGCCATCCTCCAGCCTGTTTCATTGCCCACAGCTCTCTGGAAAAGCAAGGAGCCCAGCAGGGTCTCCTGTGCTAGGGAGTGTATTTTGCAGCAATTGTATTGATGTCCCTATCTGTGCCAGCACTCTAGTCATGCCCCTAGAAAATCCCCCAAAGCATGCAAGACTGCATCACATTCCATAAGTCTGCATGGACAGATCATGGAGGTCTCCCACCCCATGGGATAAAAGGCATAGTCTATCCCAATTCTGCAGGAGATACCGGCCTAAAGGCCTGACCTACAACGTGTTTGGAGTCCATGATGTATTGAAACAGCCCCATGGTTATTGTGGTGGCCTTGAAGTCCTCCGCTGCTCTTGACTAGGTAGCATCAGTGTGGGTGTTGAAGTTCACCAGAACAAGTGCTTTTTTATGGTAAATGTGGTTATTTTTCAGCATCAACTCTGACAAATTTTGTTTCACATGGTATCCACAACTCAACACTGGTGAGGTGCACTTAAATCCATTGGACCAATGAAGTTAAGCAGACTTCATTCATTTGGATTGTGCCTCACAATTCAAAAAGAATCTGCTTTCTAGCAACCTTTTCAACTAGCCACAAAAGCCGTACTTTGTAAAAGCAGCATGCATGCCATGCTGCTATTAAACATATGGTCATAAAAGGTAAAGGTAAAGAGACCCCTGACCATTAGGTACAGTCGTGACCAACTCTGGGGTTGCAGCGCTCATCTCGCTTTATTGGCCGAGGGAGCCGGCATACAGCTTCCAGATCATGTGGCCAGCATGACTAAGCCGCTTCTGGCGTACCAGAGCAATGCACGGACGCCGTTTACCTTCCCACCGGAGCAGTACCTATTTATGTACTTGCACTTTGATGTGCTTTCGAACTGCTAGGTTGGCAGGAGCAGGGACCGAGCAACGGGAGGGAGCTCACCCCGTTGCGGGGATTCGAACCGCCGACCTTCTGATTGGCAAGTCTTAGGCTCTGTGGTTTAACCCACAGCTCCACCCACGTCCCAAAACATATGGTCATAGCTAACATCAATTCCCTATACCGCCCCGCCCCCCCAAGCATTTTCATTTTCTGATTTCTTCACAGCAAGCTGCTCTTAGAGGTGCAAGAACAAGGCTGGAAGAATCATTCTGGTCAACAACTAATGAGTGGACTTTACCCTTTTGGTTTACTGTCAGAATTGCAACACTCACAGACTTTTTGCAAATAATCTTAATTCTCTTAAAAATTCAACTGTGTCAGGCATTTCTGTAATTCTTTCTCTTAACAGGTTGCGCTGTGAGACAAAAACAAACAAGCAGACAAACAAAGCAGCATGAAATAAACTATGATAACAGAGCAAAATAAAATAACTGTTGAAACCAAAGACAGAGAAATATTGTGTTGCTGCCAGGATTGCATCAGAGAACTCACAGGTCGTGTGTAAATAAACTGAGTTGGGTTAAAAAGTACCCTGCACATTCCCCTAATTCTTGCTCTTTTCAGATTGGTTTATCAAACACAAAAAGCATGTTAAAAACATGGCAAAGGGCTTAAGAAAATAATTGGAGGTTCCAAAGAGAGGAAAAAGATATTTGCAGATCATTGGAATATGTTGACAGATGAAAGTGAAGATTTTGTGGTACAGAGCATTGCAAGCTTCCTGAAATAATATGAAGAGCTGGCTGGTCTTTCTTATTCCATTTCTTCTTCTGACATTTTGTCCTTCCCTAAATGGTAAGTTGTGTAGGCGGCTGACAAATTTTTTTACCAGGGAAGTTGGGTGTTGCCAGATTCCTTATGGGTTGGATCTAACTCGATTGTACTTGGGGCCCAATGAAATCAGTGTGAGAAAAATAGAGGTTATTAACTTAAGTCCCTAACAACTTAAATCCTTTACTAACCTAAGTCATTATCAACTAAAATACTACTAACCTATAACCTATAACACAATCCTATACATATCCACTCAGAAAGCCCCAGCAGGACTTAGTCCTGGAAAAATGTGCATAGGATTGTGGCATTAGTGTGGAACCAACACTTAAAAAAACAAGTTAGTTTCACCAGAATGGTAGAACTAAAACTTCAGGTAGGAATAGAGATGGGAAGGCCTGGGGGGGGAAAAAACGGAAAAAAATGACTGGCAGAATCCGAGACCAGGGAGAAGATCGGTGGAAGAAGATTGGAAGAAATTTAAAGACTACTTACAGAAATATTGTAAAATTAATGAATGTTAGAATGATGTTGGATTGAAGTTAAGTGGTTTCTAGCTGTAATGGTATAAAAGAATATGGAAAAATTGGATTTTCAATACGTAAAAACCTAATGCTATAATATATTAAGATTAAAGATCAGGATTAAAAAGGAGGGAAAGGAATTGCTGGACTAATAAATTGAACTGGAATACAAAAAAGGGAGGTATGAGGAGGTCCGGGAAACAAGTAAATGTAAGAGAAGTGATGAAAAGATGGAATTGTTTTTAATTGTTTTTTTTGTATTTTGTATTTTTCTTTTTTCTATTTTTCTCTTTCTTATTTATGTATCCTTCTTTTGAAACCTTAATAAATATCATTTAAAAAAAAAACTGGAAAAAATGGGGGGAGGGACAGGTTTCCCCCCGTTTTTTTCTGAAGCCGTTTTTTCCCGGAAAAATTGAAAAAAAATAATACTTTGATATAGTTTGAATATTCCATACACTATTTTTTTTTCTTCAAATTTTTCCTGGGGGAAAAAAAGGCTTTGGAAAAAACCCAAAAAAACCTGTTCCCTCCCCCCAATTTTTCCATTTTTTCCCAGGCCTTCCAGCACCCACACTTTGGAGCTCCTTGCCAATTGACACCAGGCAGCTGCTCTCACTACTCTTCCTGGCAACTGCTCAAAACATTTTCGTTAGGGCCAGCCCATCTGAACATGTAGAAGCTGCATGCAATTTACTTCCTTTTAACCACTGCTGACTTTAATCATCGATTGCAGCGGTTCTCAACCTGGGGGGTCCCCAGATGTTGTTGGACTACAACTCCCATCATCCCTGAGCTCTGGCCTTGCTACCTAGGTGTGATGGGAGTTGTAGTTCAACAACATCTGGGGACCCACAGGCTGAGAAAGGCTGATCTATTGAATACTCTTAAATGCCTGCTTTTAACTGTGTTTTATCAATCATTTTAATATTCTGTTGTATATTTTTGTAAACTGCTTAGAAAGCTCTCTTACCATCATGCGGTTTATAATATATAATAACAAAATCAATTCAACACACACACACACTCCTTTTCCTTTCAAACAGAGTTTGAGCCTTAGTGCAACATACTATTCAGTAACTGGATGTTGGTTACTTCTGGGCCTGGCATGCAAAAAAATTTGCATTATGCTTTGCCCTGGCTATCCTCAAGCAGATATGGAAAGACCTGGAGGGCGGGGACAGAAAAATTGGGGGAAAACAGGTTTTCCCCTGTTTTTTTCCAAAGCTGTTTTTTAGAAATCCATGAGAAAAATTACAAAGAGGAAGAGCAAGAAGAAATAGAAAACGATAGCAGTAGTTCAGAAAATGAGATAGAATAAACCACATGTATATGTTGTGTCTTCTCTCTCCTTTTAAAGCACTACTCAAAGGGTAGACCTTCTATGGAGCTTAAATATTGAAGTGGAATTTACTGTAATTTTATTTGCTGTTGGTGCTAAGGGGCAAATCTGATTATTTTTTATGCTGATGGTTTCTTGCTTTTTTTGTTGCTTTTGAGGGAAAGGGGGTGGTTACATGTTTTATTGCAAGCATAATACAGTGGTACCTTGGGTTACACATGCTTCAGGTTACATACGCTTCAGGTTACAGACTCCGCTAACCCAGAAATAGTACCTCGGGTTAAGAACTTTGCTTCAGGATGAAAACAGAAATTGTGCTCCAGCGGCGCGGCAGCAGCAAGAGGCCCCATTAGCTAAAGTGGTGCTTCAGGTTAAGAACAGTTTCAGGTTAAGAACGGACCTCCAGAACACATTAAGTACTTAACCCGAGGTACCACTGTACTTTTATCTACACCAGGGGTCATCAAGGTTCACTGCTGAGGAGCCCCCTCTGTGGGCCAGATCACGGGCATGCGTGAGCGCACCCGCCCACGATTTCCGACATCTGCATCTGCGCAGACATGATTTTTGGCGTCTGCACATGCGCAGGTGTGGTTTTCAGTGCCGTGGAAGCGTGTCCCCATACTACGCTGCGCTGCTTTAGCTCAGTGTGTGGTACTCACTGAGCGTGCGGCTCGGTTTGGGGGTGGCTTGTGGGCCAGTTAAACGACCCCCATGGGCCGCTAGTGGCCCATGGGCCTTAGGTTATCTACCGTTGTTCTACACTGTGTTTCACGCAATTTGTAAAACTACTCCACACTGAACTTTTTTTCAATTTTTCCAAAATTTCCAGTTTTTCCAGAAAAAAATAGGGGGGGGGGTTCTCATGGCTTCAAATTTTTTTTCTCATGGCTTCCTGAAATTTTGCAGCTCTAGGTAGGAATCATAAACTGCATTCCCCCCTCCATTATGGCAGGGTTTCCCAAAGTTGGGTCTCGAGCTCTTTTTGAACTACAATTCCCATCACCCCTGACTGGTACCACTAGCTAAGGATGTTGGGAGTTGTAGTCCAAAAACAGCTAGAGACCTGCTATCTGCTTAAGTATCTGAGTTGTGGTGCAATGAAGGGAGATTAAAGTTATGAGGCCAACATTTTTATTGCATAATTCCAACTCAGTTCTTTTTCACTTCCTTCAAATTCTTTAAAATTTACAGGTCAAAGGGTGCCATCTATTGTTGATTTTACTGATGTTATTTTAATTGAAGACTGCCGACCACCACCAATAAGAGACCATGAAGAACTTGCAGACATATCAGACAAAAAGTCCTATTCGCACGGGGATGAAGTAATTTACAATTGCCAGCCTGGGTATATAAAATTTGGGCGCATAAAACTGCGGTGTAACAATGGAAAATGGGTACAATCCACACCACATGTGCAATGCAGAAGTAAGCAGAAACATAACTTTATAAAATTCACAATCACAAGCTATTGAAATATTTGAACAGTTTATTTTTTCTCTCCTTGTGATAAGCCTTGGGATGGCCCATTTTTTTTTTAAAAAAAAACAAAACAGCAACAACAAGGCAATGCAAAATTGCATTTCACTTTGTAGCCACTAAACCTTTTTCTGTTTACTTTGGGTTTCATATAATTGGAGGTCTAAGACCACCAGAGTTGGTAAGGACAAGAATGTGCCCTAGTCTTGTGGATAAGCAGAGGGCTGGTAAAGGTAAAGGTAAAGGGACTCCTGACCGTTAGGTCCAGTCGTGGCCAACTCTGGGGTTGCGGCACTCATCTCGCTTTACTGGCCGAGGGAGCCGGCGTTTGTCCGCAGACAGCTTCACGGTCATGTGGCCAGCATGACTAAGCCGCTTCTGGCGAACCAGAGCAGCGCACGGAAACGCCGTTTACCTTCCCGCCGGAGCAGTACCTATTTATCTACTTGCACTTTAATGTGCTTTCAAACTGCTAGGTTGGCAGGAGCAGGGACCGAGCAACAGGAGCTCACCCCATCACGGGGATTCGAACCGCCGACCTTCTGATTGGCAAGTCCCAGGCTCTGTGGTTTAACCCACAGCGCCATCTGTGTCCCTGCTGGTAAAGAGGGCTGGAGAGCTCTGCAAAACTTGCAAAGGATCAGCTGGAGGCACACTTGTCCAGGATCCCGTGACTTAACCAATAATTGGAACTCCCCATTCCCCCCCCCCCTTGTTTCTGGGGTTGCTTTGACTTAAAAAAAGAGCTGGGGACATAAAATACCAGGTAGGAGACATTTCAGGGATGTTATGCAGCAGTGGGGCTGGAAAGGGACTGGGAGATGCTCTAAGCATCTCCCATCACTACAGTTATCACTACGAACAACATCATCTCCCTTGTTAAGCTTTATAAAAGAAGGCATTTGATATGACAGCATCATGTTAAGACTTTCCCCACAAATCTGTCTATAAGAGGCACCCAGTGAATCAGAGCAGGGATGGGGAAAGTCTGAGCATGATGATGTCACGTGTCTTCCTTGACTTCATGTTACTGGAAAGAAAGGAAGAGGAGATTCGAGGTTGATCTTCTTGGCAGCCTTCATACATTTCTCACAGCATAGCATCGTTTTCAAGCACATTCTTATAGCCATAAGTGTTATCTTTCTTTACACTTAATTTTCTTAATTTCCAGAAAGGCCTTGTGGACATCCTGGACATATCAAATTTGGCTCTTTAGAACTTGTTAATGGAGACGAATTTGTCTTTGGTGCTCGTGTCGTGTATCGGTGCAATGAAGGGTAAATATCCCCTCTGTTGGTGCAATGAAGGGTAAATATCCCCCACCCCTCTTCAGATATTTAGTCATGGTAGTATCTTTAGGACAGCTGTTATATATATATACATATATAAATGGATGTGGGTGGCATTGTGGTCTAAACCACTGAGCCTCTTGGGCTTGCTGATCAGAAGGTCAGCAGTTCGAGTCCCCACGATGGGGTGAGCTCCTGTTACTCTGTCCCAGCTCCTGCCAACCTAGCAGTTCGAAAGCACAACAGTGCAAGTAGATAATTAGGCTGTGGCAGGAAGGCAGGAAGTGTTTCCTGGTTTCCATCACAGTGTCTCGTTGTGCCAGAAACAGTTTAGTTATGTTGGCCGCATGACCCAGATAATTGTCTGTGGACAAACGCCAGCTCCCTCGGTCTGAAAGCGAGATGAGCGCCGAAACCCCATAGTCACCTTTGACTGGACTTAACCGTCCAGGGGTCCTTTACTTTTATTTTTTGACTATATGTGCATATATATAATGCATATAATGTATATAATGCAAGTACCCAAGTGAATACTCAGAAGGACCCAACAGAGCTTCTGTCATGCAGTAACAGATAAATCGTAAAACTGGGAAACAACAAGCAATGGGAAAACTCTATTGAGATTGCTCCCACTCCCCCAATCAGGGGTTAAACCAGAAATGTTATGAGGGATCAGAAGGTGTCCCCTCTGCCATTTATGTTGCCCTCGAACCAATGCTAAGCAAACTCCTGCCAGCTCCCAGCTCCCAGATCTCAGACACATTCTGGCCTGCTTCCCTCCTCTTAAGGCTTGGTAATCCTCCCTGTGATGGATACTGGGGAGGAAGATTTGTTCAAGGGCTCCTGCAATCCCCAGGGTCTAGCCATATTGTGGTGCTAATCTGGTTATAATGACCGAAGGGATGAGGAGAGAGAGAAATCTCTTCTACCCTATTTGCCTTCTTTCTGCAAAAACTCCTAGCCTTAAGAACAAGGTGAGCAAGGAAGGAGTGTGTTTGTATATTGGAAGGAGTTGTATATTGGAAGGAGTTGGCGAGAGCCAGTGTGGTGTAGTGGTTAAGAGCAGTGGACTCGTAATCTGGGGAACCGGATTCGCTTCCGCGCTCCTCCACATGTAGCTGCTGGGTGACCTTGTGCCAGTCACACTTCTCTGAAGTCTCTCAGCCCCACTCACCTCACAGCGTGTTTGTTGTGGGGGAGGAAGGGAAAGGAGAATGTTAGCCGCTTTGAGACTCCTTCGGGTAGTGATAAAGCGAGATATCAAATCCAAACTCTTCTTCTTCTTCCTCTCCCTGATACTCAGTTTTCAACATTCAGCCAGTATGGGGAAACTGAGGATTTGAATACTCACCTCGCTTTAGTGACCAGCTCTCCTGAATCCATTCAATTTGAGTCTGAGCTAACCTGTGGTGAACACGCATGCCATCTCTAGAGAAAAAAAACCTAGAAAATAATCCTGCTTTTCTAGAAGTATTTGTTTGAGTCTCAATGTGTTTCAGCGTTATTCCAAAGCTGCTCCTGTCATGTAATTATTTGGTTTTAAAATGTTTCGGTTTCATTTTAAAAAAAACTTGCAGGTTTCAGATGCTCAGTCCTACAGACTTCCGTGATTGTCGTGCAGATGGATGGAGCAATGAGGTCCCTCGTTGTGAAGGTAAGTGGACCTCTACAGATCTTGACTGAGACTCAAAGTACTGCAGAATTGCTTGAGTTTTTACTAGGTGTCTCCTCATAGTTTTCTCCTGCCCATCCCTCTCTCTTGTTCTCGCAGCAACTGCTGCCCCCATATCCCTGAAAAGCTCCTCCTGGAGGCCAGAGAAACCACAGAGCAGCTTTTCAAGATGCTGCAGTTGAACGCTTAGCAACTCTTTGTGTTTGTCTGGATGTGCTTTCAACATGGGCACAGGGACTGAATCTGAGCCTTTGCCCTTTGCAGTGAGTGGAACATTCTGGTTTGGTTTTTTGGGCTTACCTTTTTATTTTATCTTTTCCAAAGCAAAGAACTGTGCCTACGTCCGAATAGAGAATGGATTCCTAGCTAGCAAGTACGAACACTCTAAAAACAACTATTTTCCAAGCAGCATTGGACAAGTGATTTCCTACAGTTGCCATCCTGGTTTCCTGACCCCAAATAAAGAAGAATGGCCTAGAATTACATGCACCAAATTTGGATGGAATCCAGAACCGAAATGCCTCAGTAAGTAGATGTTTATTGCATTCTCCTCTTGGCTCAGAAATAGAAATATAAGTCTAATAGAAAAATTAACTGTGGAGGCCTTGTGAGACTGGTAAGAATATATAAAGCACAGTCGGATGCTACAGACACAACTTCGATCTTTTATTGTGTTTCCAGTGATCTTTTATTGTGCTCTGTGATTAAAGACACCACGTAAAACAACACCCATCATTGCTAGAGAGCTGTTACTGAAAATATTGCATCTATAGATAGTAATTGACACCAAGGAAGTTATCCCTGATAAAACTTAATCTTTCTTGTATGTTTTGGAGAGGGTGTGGCACAGTTGGTGCATACTTCCACATGAGATGGGGTTGCACCAGGTACAAGTATTTTAAAAGCTGGTATGACGTGAGATTGATGAAATTACAGTGGTACCTCTGGTTGTGAATGGGATCTGTTATGGAGCCCCGTTCGCAACCTGAGCAGAACGCAACCCATGTCTGCGTGTGCGCGGGGCACGGTTCGCCACTTCTGCGCATGCGCATGACGTCATTTTGAGCGTCTGCACACATGCAAGCAGCGAAACCTGGAAGTAACCCATTCTGTTACTTCCGGGTTGCCGCGGGACACAACTTGAAAGGATTTAACTTGAAGCAAACGTAACAAGAGGTATGACTGTACTGGTCAATAACGTATGTTTTCTGAGTTTTTCTTTAGCAACTAGCAACTGACTGACTTGTATCATTTCTGGATTTCTGTGCATGCTAGGAATAGTGTGCATGCGTAATGGCTTACAGGAGGTTCTGCCACTGCAACCATACTTCCTCCAGGACTGTCTTTTAAAATAACTTAACAAAAGAAAATATTGAAATAAAAGCCCCCCGTGTGCTAATCAGACTTATAGACCTGTTAAAACAAGATTGGGAGTCACATACCGGTGATTGGTTGACTGAAAAGATGAGGATAGCTAATCAGAATTAGGAAACTGGAAATCAACAAGCAAGAAAGCAGAAAACAAAGAAAAGATATTATCTCCTTTAATCCAGCACACGGGGAGTCCCACCTTTGAAATTAATTGAATTTGGAATACATTTAAAAAATGTAATCAAATTTTTCACTAGGATGGAGTAATAAAACTACCTATCCTGTATTTTTGTTACTATCCGTCCCTCTTCATCCCCCTTTTTTGTGTAAACCCCAGAAAGGCACCACACTGTAGTAGCCAAGAAAAGTTATCCGTGTGGGCACCAGACAAGCTTCCTTGAGAAAAGCATTCCAGAGACAGGGCCCCATTACTGACAAAGCTGTCTTAACTACTCTTTTTGCCTCTAGAGCAATGTGACCCTTCACTACCATTTGCACATGGTAGATTCATTTTCCTAAATCAGCAGACCTTCAGAGAAGGTGAAGAAATTTCATTTTCTTGTGATGAGGGCGATGATGCTCCACATGCAGAAGGAACAGCCACATGCACAAAAAATGGCTGGTCGCCTGCTCCACGTTGCGACACGAAAAGTGAGTGCTATTCGCGGTATCTTATCTGAGAATATAGAACCCGAGGAACTGTTCTGCTGTAAATAGCAGGTTACATGGTTTTCTTTGACTTCTTAAAGCTTAAACTGTGCATGTTTACAAATCCCATGTGTGGCAGAGAAAAGAAGGCATTGGCAGCAGCCACCCCTTCTATATCCTCTTCACAGGGTAAAACAACCACTAGCACTCTGGGTATGCACCACACATGTGGTGGATTGAGCTGAACTTGGGAGAACTTGCAGCTCTTTAGAACAGGCATAGGCAAACTCGGCCCTCCAGATGTTTTTGGCCTACAACTCCCATGATCCCTAGCTAACAGGACCAGTGATCAGGCATGATGGGAATTATAGTCCCAAAACATCTGGAGGGCCAAGTTTGCCTATGCCTGCTTTAGAATCTCTCTATCCCTCTTGACATTTTTGTTGCTGCTACCACTAGCCCAGAGAAAGAAGTGTAGAAAAGTGTACAGTGGTACCTCACTCCGGAGGTCCGTTCTTAACCTGAAACTGTTCTTAACCTGAAGCACCACTTTAGCTAATGGGGCCTCCTGCTGCTGCTGCTGCTGCTGCTGCACCGCCACCACACGATTTCTCTTCTCATCCTGAAGCAAAGTTCTTAACCCGAGGTACTATTTTTGGGTTAGCGGAGTCTGTAACCTGAAGCGTATGTAACCCAAGGTACCACTGTAGTTGGTTGCCCTTTGTCTTGGGCCCAGCTCCAGAGTACAATTTATATGCTGCTTAATTATAATTATCTCTAAGCACAAGTAACTCAAAAGAGTAAAGGTAAAAAAAAGAGAGTTAAAACTATAAAATCAGTATTCAGTTAAAATGCCCAGTGAAGTAAAAGTCTTCAGTAGGTCAAGTCTTCAGTAGAGGTCCACCCCATCCAATATTTAGGTCAACCCTCTCTGACCTCAACTGGGAGTTCCATAAAAGTGTGTCCACAAAACTGCACACACTGTTCCTGTGGTGGAATCTGAGCCATGGGGGACCACAGCCAGTGAATCTATAGAAGACCTCTGTGATTGGGCAAACATAGAATGAATCAGGCAGTTCTTAAGCTATCCTGGGCCCAAGTTGCTAAAGGCCTTTTGAATTAATACAAGAATAGTTGCAACACAAGTGGCAGAAGGATGGTTTTTGAGGCTCTAGGAAACTATGGTCAAAATCCAGGAAGCTACCGAGGTTCAGAAAAAAAGGGGGCTTTGCAGTCTCATAGCTGGTGCAATCAAGCTCTGAAATGTCGCAGCCCACCAATCTATAGGGTTTCCAAGGCTTTCTATCCTGCCTCTGCTTGCTGTCTTCTTAGCCAGCTTGTTCTTGTTATTTGTAGTTTACCAGGAGGCCAGTAAAGCTTTTCTCCTTAGAAGCCTTATGGGTTTAAATGTAAATGCTGTGATTTGCATCCCTGTATTGGGGGTGGGGTGGGGTTAAATTTAATCCTTCTCTTCCCACACTATATTACAATGTAGGAGCCAACCTGGGCAACAGTGTTTATAAAGGGGAGGTTGGGTACATGTGTAAAGACAACATGACCACATCTGGTCACACTGTGTAAATCAATAAATGTGCTGACATTATTGTTGATGAATTGCACCTAATGCTCTTGATCAGCGATTTTATATGCAGAGTGGATATACAGCACTGCCTGTGAGCACCAACTGAAAAGGTCCTCAGCAAAAACTGGATGGCCAGTCCTCAAGACAGAGTGATGGATTTGCTCTAGCAAAACCATTCTAATAATTTGATGCTGACACCTTCTTTTCTTTCATAAAACATCTCTTTCCATTTCAAATGACACGATACAGTGGTACCTCGGTTTCCGAGCGTATAACCAGCTTCAAGTCTCTCTCCAGTACATTAGTTTCAAGCTAACATAGTAAAACTAAGATGCTAAAAATAATAATAGCTATGTTTAGTTATATTAATCTCTTTTCCTCAACATTTCGTCCAGCAATATGTGAAGGTCTCCTGTTGGAGCATGGGGATATTCAGCCAAGAAAAGACCAGTATCAACCCAACGATGTTTTGCAATTTTTCTGTCATGAAGGATTCACAATAGTTGGTCCTGCTTCTGCCCAGTGTTATCCCTTTGGCTGGTCTCCACTGCCTCCCCGCTGTAAAGGTACCTATTTCTCCACAGACTATTAAAGGAAGTTCCGTCACAAATGTGCTTTGTGTTCTTATAAGTGTGCGTACCTTATTTGGTCAGGCACCATTGTCCTGTGTTCTTTGTTAGTCAGAGAGGAGGCAAAGTGCTCATCCTAGGGAAGATGACAACAGCCTTTTCGTTGTGGCCGTTTACCTCCATGTTTTGATAAATTTGTTTTCTTGTGTATTTTAATTTGTACTATTTTATAATTGGTTTTATAGTTGTAAACCACTTTGAAGCCACCTTACCAATTAAGCCGTATAAGTATAAATTAATTATGATAAATAAATAATAATAACAATAATTTATTGTGGTGTGTGAAGAAGGGACTCTCCAGTTGATGCCAATGGATGAGTAGGCTCATGAAAATTATGAGATTAGAACCCATAGTTGGTGCTGGGACCTTTCCTCCCAACTGTCTCATCCCTCCTAGCTGAAACTCAGGGAACTGAGCAGCTGCAGTGCCTGGAATAGTTGTGAAAACTGGGCATTAGGCTGTAATTCAATTTTAAATGTAAGCCATCTGGAGATCTTGGTAACAAGTGACTAATAAATCTGTTGTTGTTGTTGTTGATGTTGTTAGTGTAAATACCTGTCTATAGTAAAGGTAAAGATAAAGGACACCTGGATGGTTAAGTCCAGTCAAAGGCGACTATGGGGTTGCAGAGCTCACCTCTCTTTCAGGCTGACGGAGCCGCCGTTTGTCTGCATACAGCTTTCCTGGTCATGTGGCCAGCAGGACTAAACCACTTCTGGTGCAACACTGTGATGGAAGCCAGAGCGCACAGAAACGCCATTTACCTTCCCTCTGCAGTGGTACCTATTTATCTACTTGCACTGGCATGCTTTCGAACTGCTAGGTTGGCAGGAGCTGGGACAGAGCAACAGGAGCTCACTCCGCCATGGGGATTCAAACTGCTGACCTTTCCTATCAGTGGTTTAGACCACAGTGCCATCTGTGTCACCTGTGAATAGTGTTGTGCAAACCTTATTAGGTGAGGAATTATGTTTGCTTACTTCTAGAACAAGTCAAGCACTGTAAGGCACCAGCCAACATTAGGAATGGCAGTATTATTGATGATCTTCTTGAAGAATACCACCATGGTGACCAAGTGGAATATGAGTGTAACATCAAATTTGTGATGACTGGATCAAAGATAATAGAGTGTGTTGATGGGAAATGGACATCTGTACCTTCTTGTACAGGTAAGCCATGGTTGCAATCCGTATAAAATACGTGTGTACACAGTGTACTCTGTGTGTGTAATCATTTTCCATGATTCTATGTAGTCCAATGATTCCTGTATCCGAGAAAGCGGAAGAGAACATCTTAAATATTCTCTTCTGATTTCTCTGCTCTGAAATTATCTTAAATGTTGTGTACAGGCTCCTTTCCCCAGCTTCAATAATACTAACATAAATGTATCAACCAGGTTTAAAACAACAATATATTTCTTGCACCACATTAAGTAATTGCAATGGCATGTGGCAAATTAATTTCCAATGAAAAGGTGAATCCTGAAAGTTTATATACTGACCCTTTCACTTGACACTGCCAGTGAACGCTTTGTGCCTGGAATATGAGTTAGGAACAGAGAGCTGTCCTTGACTTCTGAGAACAATGGATTTGCTACACTAAGTAAGATCCTATTTCAATTAATAAAGTTGCCTTCCGATCAGGGTCTAAACACAATCTGGAGTATTTTCTTTCACATTCCTTTATGCCTTTTGCAGTAGAGGAAAAGAAATGTGGTCCACCACCCAGTATTCCAAATGGACATGCAGCTGGAACACTCAGAGAAGAATATATTCACGGTGAGGATGTGGAATATGAATGTGAAGAAAACTTCGTCATCGTTCAGACCAGCTTAGCCAGGTGTCTTCATGGACTTTGGGAATTACCTAGATGTGCAGGTAAGCAGAGCTCATAGTTTACTAAGCTGTGATTCTCACCGTAGTATCTATGGGGTTGTGCTATTATGAAGTGTCCAAAACTCATACTTGTGTAGGGATGTCCCAAATTACAAAATTCATCTCATCTTGGTCTTGGTTGAAATAAATCCATACAATATCTAAGAAGCCCATACAGTGGTACCTTGGGTTAAGTACTTAATTCGTTCTGGAGGTCCATTCTTAACCTGAAACTGTTCTTAACCTGAAGCACCACTTTAGCTAATGGGGCCTCCTGCTGCTGCCGCGCCGCCGGAGCCCAATTTCTGTTCTTATCCTGAAGCAAAGTTCTTAACCTGAAGCACTATTTCTGGGTTAGTGGAGTGTGTAACCTGAAGCGTATGTAACCCGAGGTACCACTGTACATTATTATTTTTTGTTGGTCAAAAAGCAAAATAACCTTCACAACAAAGTGGCCCAATATGTGAATGCACTTATTATGGGATTTTATTTTATTTTTGTGAGTATGGAAGAGTAACAACATGATGCTCCTCCAAGTACATTCTATGTAGCCTTGAGCAACTCATTGCATCTCAGCCTCAGTTTCCTGTCTGTAAAATTGAGAATAATTTTGATCTCTTTGCCGCAAAGATTAATTTCCATAAATTCTCTCTCTGTGTGTATATATATAAAGGTAAAGGTAGAGGGACTCCTGACCATTAGGTCCAGTCGCGGACGACTCTAGGGTTGCGGCGCTCATCTCACTTTATTGGCTGAGGGAGCCGGCATACAGCTTCTGGGTCATGTGGCCAGGATGACCAAGCCACTTCTGGCAAACCAGAGGAGTGCACGGAAATGCCGTTTACCTTCCCGCTGGAGCGGTACCTATTTATCTACTTGCACTTTGACGTGCTTTCAAACTGCTAGGTTGGCAGGAGCAGGGACTGAGCAATGGGAGCTCACCCCGTCGTGGGGATTCAAACCACCGACCTTCTGATCGGCAAGTCCTAGGCTCTGTGGTTTAACCCACAGTGCCACCTGCGTCCCACATGTATATATAGAGAGAGAGAGAGAGAGAGAGAGAGAGTTTGAGAACTTATCCAGACATTTTCAGGCTTATTAATTCATGTAAATGTGTATGCCTTAGCTATTAAGCCACCTCACTTGAACAATATTTGAATTATTAGATTTTTCAACAAAATGTGCACGTCCAAATATGCCTAAGAATGCAACTTTTGCATCAGCTGTTCCTCTGAAAAGTCAGTATGACAACAATGATGTCCTCAGCTATATCTGTGATTCCAGGCTTCGTGAAGCTAAATGTGTTGAGGGAGAATGGTTACCCAAACCGGAATGCAAAGGTACGTTCTTTTTTCCGTTGCTTTCTTAACTTAGGTAACTGACATAGCTGGTAGTCAAAAACTGAAGGAAAAATGCAAATACAATATACATTGGGGCATGTTGCATCCTCAGAAAGGAGGTATTTCCATTTTGAATTTTGTTTCCTTTTGAGGGGAGTGAGATTTCCGCCTATTCACTTCTCCAGCCCTTACTCCTGACTGATGTACTCACGAGGGGAAATACCGAAGAATAACAGTTTGCAAATGCATTTGTAGGTTGGTCGTGCTTCTTTCGCAAAGCCGAGACAAAACTCAACAACAGAGGCTCAAAAGCAGCTGTAAAAACAAACCACCACCAAGTGAAACCACAACATAGATTATTTTTATTCCTTCTTTGATATCTTAATTTGGGGACAGAATTGGCTCTCCTGGTGAGGCTTGAGCTGTGTGACTAATAGCCTCTAATTTTTTATTTCAATATTACAGAGAGAGGCTATAGAACCCAGCCTCTTGAATAATGGCTTCCTGTCTAACAGCCCTTCCCTGAGTTGACTCTGAGAAGGGATTGGATCAGCTCCCCCCTCCTCCCTTTCTGACAAACTACTTCCGTCTTTGTTCCCTCCTGATCTCTCCACTGTTCATCCTGCATGAAAGTTAACCCTTTCCATTCCTGGCTGCTTCCTTCAGTTGTCTGCAACCTTCACTGAGAGCTGGCTGTAACCCTTTACTGGGAGCTGGCTGCAAACCTTCACTGGGAGCTGGCTCTTTCCTCACACCAGCCCAGACTGGTTGTAACAGATCCAGGCCACTTGGAGCAGTTGCTGGTCGGTTGGAACCAGTTTAAGCGGGTTGTAATAGGACCAGGCTGGTTTGAACCGGTCTAGGCCGGTTTGAACCGGTCTGAGCTGGTTTGAACAGGTCTAGGCCAGTTTGAACTGTTCTAGACTGGTTTGAACTGAACTAGGCCAGTTTGAGGAGGTCTAAGCCAGTTTGAACCAGTCTAGGCCGATTCGTTCCAGTCCAAGCCGGTTGGAACAGGTCTAGGCTGGTTTGAACCGGTCCAAGCCGGTTGGAACAGGTCCAAGCCAGTTGGAAACAGTTCAGACTGGTTGGAACAGGTTCAAGCCGGTTGGAACCAGTTCAGACCGGAAGGAACTGGTTTAGGCCGGTTTGAACTGGTCTAGGATGGTTTGAACCGGTCTAGGCCAGTTTGAACTGGTCTATGTCAGTTGGAACCGGTCCAAACAAGTTTGAACTGGTCCAAGCCAGTTTGAACAGGTTCAGACCGGTTGGAACTGTTCCAAGCCAGTTGGAACCGGTTCAGACTTGTTGGAACTAGTCCAAGCTGGTTTGAAATGGTCCAGGCCAATTGGAACCAGTTCAGACTGGTTAGAACCAGTTCAAAGCGGTTGGAACCGGTTCGGGCTGGTTGGAACTGGTTCAGACTGGTTGGAACAGGTTCAAACTGGTTGGAACTAGTCCAAGCCGATTGGAACCAGTTCAGACCGGTTAGAACCTGTCCAAGCCGGTTTGAAATGTTCAAAGCCGGTTGGAACCAGTTCCGACTGGCTGGAACCGATTCAGACTGATTGGAACTGGTTCCAACCGGCTTGGAACATTTCAAACTGGCTTGGACCGGTACAATCCAGTTTGAACCGATCTAGGCCGGTTTGAACTGGTCTATGTCAGTTGGAACCGGTTCAGACTGGTTTGAACTGGTCCAAGCCAGTTTGAAATGTTCCAAGCCGGTTGGAACCAGTTCAGACTGGTTGGAACCAATTCAGACTGGTTGGAACCATTTCAGACTGGTTGGAACTGATTCAGACAGGTTGGAACCGGTTTAAGCCGGTTGGAACCGGTTCAGACTGGTTGAAACTGCTTCAAGCCAGTTGGTACCGGTTCAGGCTGGTTGAAACCGGTTCAGACTGGTTGGAACTCGTCCAAGCTGGTTTGAACTAGTTCAGAGCGGTTAGAACCGGTCCAAGCCGTTTTGAACCGGTCTATGCCAGTTGGAACCAGTTTAGACTGGTTTGAACCGGGTCCAAGCCGGTTGGAACCAGTTCAGACTGGTTGGAACCGGTTCAAACCGGGCTTACCTGTACCTGCCCCCCCCAAATATTTTATTGAAGTTGGAAGAGGGAGGGAGGGAGGGAGGGAAGAGAGATGGAGAGCTCACATTTGTCCTAGGCAAAGCAGCCAATTCCTATGGGCCTAGGTGACTTCACCCCCTCCCCATTAAATATTTGAGGGAGTCATCCCCCACCCCCATTGTGGTATGTGAGTGGGGCTTACCTGGCTGTCCCCCCAATTTTGTTGAAGTTGGAAGAGGGAGGGAGGGAAGAGAGAGGGGGAACTCACATTTGTGCAGCTGCCTTGCCTCGAACCTGAGCAAAAAGAGGAGGAGGAGACTCAGGGACGCGAGCCTTGTAAGCCGCTTTGTTTGAATTTTCTGGTGAGGTGCTGGGGGAGGGACGGAAGGGGATGCCCTCTTTGTCCCTCCTTCCAGCTCATTGTAAAGAAAGCAGAGTAAGAGCCGCTTACATTTGTGTAAGGGAGAGCCATAGAGCAGGCAGACAGGAGAAAGAGAGGCTGTCTCCCGACACTCAACTGTTGCTCAGCTGTTGCCGGCTTCCCAGCGAGCCAAGCGGAGGAAGAGAGGCTGCCGAACAGCCAGCAAGAGCGGCTCCTCCTTCCTGCATTCACTCCATAACGCGCACACACATTTCCCTTTACCTTTTAGGGGGAAAAAACGGAGTGTTATGGTGCGAAAAGTACGGTACTAACCTACCTCACAGAGTTGTTGTGGCGATTAAATGAGGTGGGGAAGAACCATGTCCACCACTGGGAGCTCCTTGGAGGAAAAAGCAATAAAATGAATACAATAATAATAGCATATGTTTGATATGTTGTTGTTGTCATTGTCGTTGTAGACCTGTGCCCACCTCCACCCCAGATTCCTAATGCCATTGATGTAGCTGAGCCGAGAACCTACGAAAGTGGTGAACAGATAAATTTCCTGTGTGAGAAGCTGTTTGTGCTTCAAGGGCCACAGAACATATCGTGCGAGGATGGCAAGTGGCAATTGCCCCCGCGCTGTGTTGGTTAGTATGCTCTTACTTGAATATTTTGCCTTTGGGGAAATTAAATGAAGATGCATGCTGTGGTGTTAACACATGAGAGTGCTGGAGGTGAAATAGTTAAACAGGTTACCCAATCAGGACCCAGGGGGGTGGAGTCAGAGGGACTATAAAACCAGCTCTGGGAGGGGCAAAGGGAGGAGTTATTTGGGAGCTGAGTGGTTGGTTGGAGTGGGAGTGAATTGGGATAGAGTTTGTGGGTAGGGTGAGTTAGTGTAGTGAAATAAGCTGAGTCAGAAATAGTTGGGGGCTAGGAAGACAAGTAAATATCTGAGAGGTGGTTAATTTTTTTAAAAAAATATTATATAATATTTTTATTAAATACAAATTAGAAAACATACATATTCACAACAAAAGAAAATACAAAGGAAAAAGAAAATACATCTAACCAAGGAAAATGAATTAGAGAATATTTTGTCTCTTTTCATATTTACAGTTTTTTATAACTCTATAAAATGCTATTCACAATAAAGCAGTAAAATGAAAGATAAGATATCAGAAAAAGAAAAAAAGAACAAAGAAAGAATAAAGAAGTAAAAGAAAAAGATCATAAGTGAAAATTTTTAAAAGTAGATAAGTACTCACAATACATAGCCCACAATACATAGCCTATTGTACTGTGTACAATACATAGGCTATGTACTGAGAGGTGGTTTAGTGCGTGAGAGCAGGTAGCGGAAGTTATAGGACTGGATAGGTACCCCATGATTGTAATTGACCGATACCGTTTATGAAACCACACGCTTGTTAAACTGCAATAAATAAACAGAAGTTTATGTTCCAATTTAACCCTGACTGGACTCAGTATTGTACCAGGTAGGGCTTGGGTGGTGGCAGTGAGAAACAAAGTGGTGGCACAGGGATCAATAGACGGTGATCGCCACACATGCTACATTCTGTTTTGCCAAAGCAACACTGCAGGGACGCGGGTAGCTCTGTGGTCTAAACCACTGAGCCTCTTGGGCTTGCTGATCGGAAGGTCGGTGGTTCAAATCCCCGCGACGGGGTGAGTTCCTGTTGCTCTGTCCCAGCTCCTGCCAACCTAGCAGTTCGAAAGCACGCAGTGCAAGTAGATGAATAGGTACCACTGTGGCGGGAAGGAAGGTAAATAGCTTGAAAAGAGGATTGGAGAAATTCATGGAGAAGGCTATTGATACCTATGCTTTGCACATACCAGTTGCTACAAATCACAGGAAGGGTGACTGCTCTTACGCTCAGATCAGGCTTGTAGGTCTCCAACAGACATTTGGCTGCCCACTAGAAGAACAGAACGCTGGATTAGAAGGGCCATTGACCCATCAGGCTCTTCTTATGTTCTTATTTAATAATGGGGGTTCAAACCAGGGATGTGGGTGCTGCTGTGGTCTAAACCACTGAACCTATTGGGCTTGCCGCAATGGGATAAGCTCCTGTTGCTCTGCCCAGCTCCTGCCAACCTAGCAGTTCAAAAGCACACCAGTGCAAGTAGATAAATACCGTATTTTTTGCTCCATAAGACTCACTTTTTCCCTCTTAAAATCTAAGGGGAAATGTCTGTGCGTCTTATGGAGCGAATGTGTAGTCCCTGGGGCTGGGGGGGGGGGGGAACCCGGGCTTCCCCTGCCAGCCCCACCAAGCTCCTGAGCAGCTCTGGGGTAGCCCATGAAGCCTCCGCAGGGGAGCAGGGAGCCTTCATCCCGCAGCCCTGGGGAGGCTTCCCACGGCTATCCCTGGCTTTTGCGGGAGGTGGGGGGAGGGACAGAGTGAGGCTCTCTCACTTCCCCCACCTCCCGCAAAAGCCCCCAAGAGCCACACTCCCTTTAAAAAGCCGCGCAGAGCATGTGTGTGGCTCTTGAGGGCTTGGGGGAAAGCCTGCAAACGCCGCACACACGCTCCAGGCAGCTCATGAAAGGGAGCGCTGAGCAGAGCCTGGAATGCATACAGGCTCCGCTCAGTGCTCCCTTTAAACATATTTTTCCCCCTTGAATTACCCCCCCAAAAAAGTAGGTGCGCCTTATGGTCAGGTGCGCCTTATGGAGCGAAAAATACGGTAGGTACTGCTGCGGCGGGAAAGTAACCGGCGTTTCCGTGCGCTCTGGTTTCCGTCATGGTGTTCCGTTGCGCCAGAAGCGGCTTAGTCCTGCTGGCCACATGACCCAGAAAGCTGTCTGTGGACAAACGCTGGCTCCCTCAGCCTGACAGCGAGATGAGCGCTGCAACTCCATAGTCGCCTTTGACTAGACTTAACTGTCCAGGGCTTCTTTACCTTACCTTACCATTACTCAGTCTAGGTGTGCGTCTTTTATGTTGAGTATGTGTATCTGCAACAAAAGACAAATGCCGCCACCATCACCCCGTTTTCTCTCTTAACAATGAAACTGTGGCAGCAGCTGCCCCTTCCAATTGAGGAAGTGAGAAGCTTCAACCCGTGTAAAACATAACAAAGACATCCTTTGTGTTACTTGACTTTATTTCACTCGCCAAGGGTGCTTAATGACTGATTTATAGATGCCATTTGCTTTGTATGTGGCATTGGGTTCCAGAATGCTTGACTGGCGCACACTGGCATCAGTACCAGCTTGCAACAAAGGGGCCATCTCTGTGTGTTTGCTTGAACGGCACACTCACTGCTCAGAGTAAAGTCAAACCGCGGACACAGTCTTCGGCATGCAAAGAGCGCCAAATAAAGCAAGCAACACAGTATGGCTATATTTCCAAGTTCAATGCCAGATTTGGCATCCCTTGTAAGAGGAGCACAGGCACCGGCATTTTCATCCATTTTCATGTTTTTGCATTGTAGATGTATCAACTGTCACCGGGCAGCACAGCACAGACTTTTCCATTGCTCCTGGAAGCCAGAGCAACCCCATGCCTGCGACAAGTGATGGCATTAGCAGCAGAGACCTTTTAGATTTCTTACACACTATCCATGCCGCAGGTAAGTTAGCAGCCCTAAAGCATAGGATTGTGGTTTACAAATGCACATCAGGTCGGCTGCCATTTCATACGCCTTTGGTTTTTTTATACAGTAAGATCACTCGAGAGGCGCATGGCCGTGCTTGAGCAGGAGCTGCAGGAGCTAAAGAGAGAGAGAATGAAGACTAAGTAGCAAACCACCTGCATTCTAGAAGCCAGTCCTGAAGAATGGAAGGAGAACGTAAACAAGAACGTTAGATCATAGTCACGTGGCACACTGTTCCTGCATCCATTTCTTTTACTAAAGACTTTTTGGAAACCCACTGTGAATTGTTTGCAAGGCACTTGAGGGCAAAGTCCCTTGCCTTTCTAGCAGTACTGTTTTTCTACCATGAACGCCTCCCTTTTAATGGCAATGGTATCCACCTGCGAGGTGCCAGAACTGGAGGTGCCACCTGCTTTCTAGCAATCCCAGTGCCACATCCCCACCTGCTACAGTCCCCAGTGAGGTGCCCAGATGCTGCTTCAACTTCTTGGGGACATTTTCAGTTGATGCAGCCTAATGACATAGACAGGGACGCGGGTGGCGCTGTGGGTTAAACCACAGAGCCTAGGACTTGCCGATCAGAAGGTCAGCGGTTCGAATCCCCACGACGGGGTGAGCTCCCGTCACTTGGTCCCTGCTCCTGCCAACCTAGCAGTTCAAAAGCACATCAAAGTGCAAGTAGATAAATAGGTACCGCTCCGGCAGGAAGGTAAACGGTGTTTCCATGCGCTGCTCTGGTTTGCCAGAAGCGGCTTAGTCATGCTGCCCACGTGACCCGGAAGCTGTACGCCGGCTCCCTCGGCCAATAAAGCGAGATGAGCACCGCAACCCTGGAGTCAGTCATGACTGGACCTAATGGTCAGGGGTCCCTTTACCTTTACCTTTAATGACATAGACAAGGTCCTCGTGGAGATGCAGATAGCAACATGTCTGCTCAAACCTTGCTGCTCACGGCTTACTAAAACTTGCTGAGGGGGCATGGCTGAGCAGGTATTATTACATGGTTCTGCTCTTAACTGCCTGGTTGCTACCGAAATGCAGTACTAGGAGATGGTTGCATTGTTCTGTGTTCTGTTTTAAGCTGTGAGGTCCTGTAAGAATCCATTCTGTATCCTATGATAGTCAACATCCATGAGACTGCAGGGAGATACCAATCCAGGATTTTGGTGCATGGTCTCATCGGTATGCAGAATACAGATAACTCTCATATTCCATTCCATCAGAATCAAGATAAGTTGGGAAAGTGTTTGACTGATGGGCAGGATGGGTGCCAATAGTAGGGCTGCCATATGTCCTCTTTTTCCAGGACAAGTCCTCTTTTTCATGATGAGACTCTCCAGAGAGAGCCATAGTTAAATGTGTCCTCTTTTTTTGCTCTTCAAAATATGGCAACCCTACAATAAAGAGAGGCTTTATCCTGATAAGGCAGAGGTGCTGAGGGTGGTGCTTTGTTGTCCAGGAAGTAGTCATGCAGCTTGTTCTGCCTTCCTCCTTTCCCTCTTAAATACCTTGCAAGCTTTGCCACAACAGCACAATTGTACAGCCTCTCTGCTCATTCTGATTTGCGCCTTTCCCTGGCATCTAGCATAAAACAATCTTACTGTGTATAGCATATTAATCCTCTTTGTTGCACTGGGAGCTTTTTAATATGGCTTAATAAAAAGAAAGACAGGATCCAGATCTAATTGTGTGCATATTAATCTCCCTATTCTGTTTCTTATTTGAGACCAAAATCCCTTTGCTTTGTGACGAAGCCGCTATAAATAAAGTTTCCAATGTGGATCGTTCTACATTTCCAGCATTTATTAGCTAAGTTTCCAGTTGTCTTCTGAATTCTTTCAGGGTCCATATACCAGCTATCATTTTATAGGAGTTATCATTAGCATTTGACATAATGAAAACTTAAGGCCAGTTTCCCAAATGTACTCATATGCACGAGTAGCTAGGTAGTGGAGCAGGGCTGCTCTTCCAGTAGGAGCATCACTGATGCTTACCTGGTTGGTATGGGACCAGGGAGGTGGCAAGAAACAGGGCTGTGAGGGTGCACTGATGCAATCCTGACCTCACAGACATACTCCCACACTGGACAGGTTGGTGGCAGTGACATCACTTTTGGGAGGCTTCAAATATTTTGGTATATATATAAAAAGTCATGTTGTGATGACTGGTGCTTAGCAGCACTGAAATTTAAATGGATCTGGTGAATTTATTCCAATGGCTGAGTGAGGAATCAGATTTTTTTTTCCTGCTTGTGAGTTAAAACCCCTAGGTGTGCTGTGCCATGGCTTAATCTGGGTTTTACTAGCGTCACCAGAACCACTTTTTATCTTTTTAATTCTGTTGGGGACTTTAAAAGAGGAAGATGAAAAGAGTGAAAGGAAAGAGAGTGAGTAGAAGAAAATAAGAGATGGTAAAAAACAGAGGGGAAAACACAGGGAGGAAATGAGAAAAATGAACATACATATATGGTTAAACACTAAACTTTGGAACGAGAGTCTAAAATTCACTGCATGCTCTGCTTTAAAAGAGAATGTTATGAAAATGGTCTATCATTGGTATCTCACTCCCACCAAACTGGCAAAAATGTATAGGACAAGTAGCAAAACTTGCTGGAAAGGCAAGGAAAAGGACGGTGATTTTCACCACATGTGGTGGTCATGTAACAAAATAAAAGAGTTTTGGGAATCGATCTATAATGAGTTAAAAAAAAGATGTTTAAATATACTTTTCCAAAAAAGCCGGAAGAATTTTTGCTAGGCTTGGTGGGAGAAAATATTAAGAAGACAGACCAAAGACTATATTTGTATGCAACAACAGCAGCTAGAGTTTTGATAGCCCAAAAGTGGAAGTCACAGGAGATTCCGACTGTAAGGGAATGGCAGATAAAGTTGTTCGAAAACGCTGAAATGGCAAAATTGACACACAGAATTCGCAATCAGGAGGAGACGAAGTACCAAAAAGAATGGAGTAAATTTATGGTTTATATAAGTGAGAATTGTAGAAATATGAAAACGTTGGCAGGATTGAATTAAATCTTATGTCACGGTGTAATTTTTAACCCATGAAACTGTGAATTATAGATTGGAATAAGAAAACTTGTGGAAGGGAAGGACGGAAGTCAATGGCTCTATGGAGCATAAAGTAGGATATATGTAATAAGATGTGATGTCTTTGTTGGTTGGTGTTGGTGTTCTTAAATCTCAGTAAAAAACGTTTGGGGGAAAAATACATATATGGTTAAACATTGAAAAGTGATTTCCATGATACAACTTAAGGTCAGAGCCAGGACTGAAAATATTCATTAAATACTGGTATAGACCTTCTTTTGTAATACACAGTGCTTTCTCTAGATTGACAAAAATCTCACCCATGAGTGCTGAATTTTTTGTTATTGTGCTTTAACTGCAATTAACGTAGAGGGATACATCTTGGATAGTCCAACTTGCCCTCTCTGCATAAGGCCCTGAAGGGAGGAGAGGTTGGATCTGGCCGAAAGCCCCATTTGCAGGCAAACTCTGTCTTGTCTCCAGATACTGTATATAATTTTGCACTGTATCCCCACTTCAGTCGGATATTGTTCTGATTCATATCTTCTTCAGTTCCTATACAAGGAGCTGCAAAAAAGCACAAATCATGTCATCATAGAGATTAATTTGACAATGAGGAGTTCACTTGACAAATAAAACTTTTGGGTTGTGCCCAAAGTTAGTCATACCCATTGAAATCAATTGAGGTTCATAATGTAGTCCCATCCATCAGTCTCCTCTGAGAAAACCTACCGTACTTTTTGCTCTATAAGACTCACTTTTTCCCTCCTAAAAAGTAAGGGGAAATGTGTGTGCGTCTTATGGAGCAAATGCAGGCTGCGCAGCTATCCCAGAAGCCAGAACAGCAAGAGGGATTGCTGCTTTCACTGCGCAGTGATCCCTCTTGCTGTTCTGGCTTCTGAGATTCAGAATATATTTTTTTCTTGTTTTCCTCCTCCAAAAACTAGGTGCATCTTGTGGTCTGGTGCATCCTATAGAGCGAAAAATACGGTAAGTGAAAGTTAGTTGAATACAATGCTTTGCTTGTAGGGTATGAATGGCTTGTGATGAAATGGACTAATAAATTGACAGACTACATATGCAGGATTTTTATATTATTCATCCATTTGGCCAAGAACTATTTCTTCAACTTCTCAGGCTAAAGTCTTTACAAGCCATGCACACAGAGATTATTTTAACTGAAACCAGACCCTTCTGCGGGCATATTATGTTCATTGCCACTGACCATTCTCAAAAGAGCAACTCTAATTTGCCTGGCTGTGTGCACAGATCCAGAGAGTGAACTGGAGATGCAGAAATACAGAGGTGGAAGGGACTTGGAAATTGTTTCTAGTCCAACCCCTTGCTATAATAATAATAATAATAATAAAAAAAAAAAAAAAAATAAAAAACAACCATCTGGCTGGGTTTCCCCAGCCACTCTGGGCAGCTCCCAACAGAATATTAAAACATGATAAAGCATCAAACATTAAAAACTTCCCTAAAAAGGACTGCCTTCAGATGTCTTCTAAAAGTCAGATAGTTGTTTATTTCCTTGGCATCTAGTGGGATGCAGACTGGTGGCTGGAAGTGGCAGAGGGTCTTTTCGGTAGTGGCGTTCGCCCTGTGGAGCGCCCTCCCTTCAGAGGTCAAGGAAATGAACAACTATCTGACTTTTAGAAGACATCTGAAGGCAGCCCTGTTTAAGGAAGTTTTTAATGTTTGATATTTTATCGTGTTTTTAATATTCTGTTGGGAGCAGCCCAGAGTGGTTGGGGAAACCCAGTCAGATGGGCAGCATACAAATAATAAAATTATTATTATTATTATTATTATTATTATTACTAAATGAGGAATTGGAACTCATGACTCCAATCATTTTGCCTTATGGGAATGCTATCTGTAGTTCCTGGGAGGATCTGGGATGGAAAAATGCCAGCTGACATCACACTTGTGCCACCAAGTCACAGGTTTTTGAACTTAGAGAATATCCTTCAATGAAACAGCAAAAGCAAAGATTTACAGAAATTTCCTGTACCTATGCATGTTGGTGTATCTGTCCAATGCCCGTTGACACATTGTACATATTGATTTCCTTGCATATTGTGGAAAGCTTGACACTTATACTGTACTTGCGCCCCTGGCATATATTCCGAAGTTGCCGTGCCCAGAAAGTCTCCATTTTCAATAGGAGGTGGAGGACCACATTTTCCCGCAGCATCTGTCGTGATGCATTGAAACAGAAAAAGGAATCTATTACATGGCACTTACTAGGATTACACATATGGCTGTCCACACAAGTATTTCTATAATTCAGCTTAATTATTTAATTTAAAAATTAATATATATATTTATATATGGGACACGGGTGGCGCTGTGGGCTAAACCACAGAGCCTAGGACTTGCCAATCAGAAGATCGGCAGTTCAAATCTCCATGACAGGGTGAGCTCCTGTTGCTCGGTCCCTGCTCCTGCCAACCTAGCAGTTCGAAAGCATGTCAAAGTGCAAGTAGATAAATAGATACCACTCTGGCAGGAAGGTAAACGGCGTTTCTGTGCGCTGCTCTGGTTCGCCAGAAGCGGCTTTGTCATGCTGGCTACATGACCCGGAAGCTGTACGCCGGCTTCCTCGGCCAATAAAGCGAGATGAGCACCGCAACCCCAGAGTTGGTCACGACTGGACCTAATAGTCAGGGGTCCCTTTACCTTTGTGTGTGTGTGTGTGTGTGTGTGTGTGTGTGTGTGTGTATATATGGCTCATCCACATACGCTGTGCCTACAAAGCACAAGTCCTGGCAGTTTCCCAGTTGACTCACACTTTCTAACCATGGGTCCAAGGAGTTTTCCCCTTGCCCCCCTCCCTTCCAAGGGAAAACCCACTCTTTAGTGATATATCAGAACAAATGGCAATCTGGGGGAAACCCAGAATCCTGTTAGCTCCGATTGAGCACTAAAGAGCAGTTTCTTTCCAGGGGGTGACAGAAACAGCAGAACAAGGGGAGGTGTGGATACGCCACTCTGTATATACATATGTATATACATACATACTGATGCAGACCACTAAAAAACCCAGCAACAATAATGTACATCAACCCTTCAATAATTGTGCTAAGACCTACAGATTCCACTTACTGCTGCACCGTGGTAGAGGTGACCATCCATTCCTTGTGCATTCTGCTATATTTTGTCCATCAGCTAGATGAAATCCACTGTCACACTGAATTTGAATTAGATCCTCACCATGATATATATTCCTTCGAGGTCTAAAAGTGCCATGAGCCACCTTTGGAGGGTTACATGTAATTTCTATTTAAAAAAACAATGAAGTAAACATGTGACATGGAAACAGAAAAACAAGTGGCAAAACCACCTGGATTAGAAGCGCTGCTTTCTCTCTGTATATGAAGAGTTGTAGCTGTTGTTGTTTTAAGCCAATCTATTTATCTAGTAGTATCAGGGCAAAAAAGACAAATCCGACAATTTAAATTTCAACAGGGGCACAGGATAGAAAGAAGAAAGGCAAAGATAGCAATGACACAAGGAAGAAGTGGAATGGAGAGACAAATGTCACTGGAGAGGAATATGAGAAAATGCACCTATTATGTGGTCATTGTTTTGACGAAGGATGAGGGGTGTGGAGTTCAGACAAAGGTTTCACTGAAGACATGAGTTCTGAAGAAGTTGGAAAGAGAAACCGCTGGTCATCATGCATGATGATTTTAATTTCAGGGATTGAGTTATGAAGCCCACATAACCATTGCAGGGCTACAGAACACCACGTTTTCAGAAGCAGGAAAAAAAGATTTAGAAGAACAAACTAAGGAAGCAAACATAACACAAAACAGCCCAATGAGAACTTGGTGTATTCTTTAACCAGTGATTATTGAGAGTCTTCTGTTTACAATCAAGCAGTATATAAATTTTGTTATTTTAAAAATAATGCCATGTTGAATTACCTTCACATTCAGGATACACAATTGCTTCTCCATTGCACCGGATTACAAAAGCAGACGGGGAATAATTTGCAGCAGGAGCATGCCCGGGTTTACAGGCAAGCTCAACAGAAGTACCACGTTGTACATATAAGTTTTGAAAACGATGCTCATCCGATTGCCCCACCACCTGAACTTTCTTGCTTTCCATTTCAGCCAGTGAGATTGCACAGGGCTCTGTGGTGAGAATGAAAATAGATTCTGTTCATGAAGGCAACCAGAGTATGTATTTGCCATATTGGAAAACTTAAACAAAAAGGAAGATTTTATATACATCAGTCTTGGGAACACAAGTCAATTTTTTTGACATACCATTGCATTTGAAAAAAGCAACAAATTCTCTCTCGCACACACAAACAGCATTTGCAGAATTATCATTAAAGTCATGTGAGAACCTATGGCCTGCAGGCAGAATCTGGTCTGCCAGGCTATTGCAAGTAGTCTACCAGGCCTGGCCAAGTAAAACTCCTCTTCTGCTTCTGCTAAGGTGCCTCTTTGCAGATCTTGTTGGACTACAACTCCCATCATCCTTGACCGTGTTGACTAGAGATGATGGGAGTTGGAGTCAAACAACATCTGGAAGGCCACAGGTTCTCCCAATCACAGACACCGTGCTTGTTAAGTTTCCAAAGTACTTCAAATACATAACAACAACAATTTAATATTTATACCCCACCCATCCTGCTGGGTTCCCCCAGCCACTCTGGGTGGCTCCCAACAGAATATTAAAAACACGATAAAACATCAGATATTAAAAAGTTCCCTAAACAGGGCTGCCTTCAGATGTTTTCTGAAAGTCAGATAGCTGTTCATTTCCTTGAATCAGATGGGAGGGCGGTCCACAGGGCAGGTGCCATTACCAAGAAGGCCCTCTCCCTGTAGTTTTGCTTCTCACAGTGAGGGAACCACCAGAAGGCCCTCAGAGCAGGACCTCAGTGTCCAGGCTAAATTATTGGGGTGGAGGCACTCCTTTAGGTATACTGGGCTGAGGCCGTTTAGGACTTTAAAGGTCAACACCAACACTTTGAATTGTGCTTGGAAAAGTTGCTCCAGCAACTAATTTTCATATGATTAGTACCTATATTTTACAGAATGGGGACTGAAGCTGAGAGGATACTGGCATGCTAAAGATAATGCCTGAAGGCAAGATAGGAACTAGGATTGTCCCTCTCCATATCTCACATGCTTCATGCTGGTGCTTTACTAAGGAGAAACAATTATTTGAACCTTTCCCAAATATATCACATATAAAAGAAATTAATGAAGCAACCCTATATGCATGCCAGAAGATGGAATTTCTATCAAAACAGAGGGGGGAAAGTTCTTACCTAGACAAATGGGCACTTTTGTCCAGTTCCCATTGTTACAAAAAGTTCTGTTTTCTCCTTCCATGGCATAATATTTTTGGCATTTGAATTCCACTGAAGAGCCAGATGCATATTGCTTCTGTGATAAGGTGATAATGTCTCCATTCTCAATAGTGGGTGGGTGACTACAGTTTTTCCCCATTTCTGGTAAATAATAAAGTGATAGGAACAGTGACTTAGTACAGTTACCAAAGGTCAAAAATGAAGGACTTTGAAATCCCTTTGTTCAAATCAGGCATGTCGAGATGGAGTATTTCTCTCTCTCTTGAGATACAGTGGTACCTCTGATTATGAACTTAATTCGTTCTGGAGGTTCGTTCTTAACCTGAAACCATTCTTAACCTGAGGTACCACTTTAGCTAATGGGGCCTACCACTGCCACCGCGTGCCACTGTGCAATTTCTGTTCTAATCCTGAGATAAAGTTCTTAACCCGAGGTACTACTTCCGGTGTAGCGGAGTCTGCAACCCAAAGTGTTTGTAATCCAAGGTGGTTGTAAGCTGAGGTACCACTCTATTTGAAACAGAGGAAAAGCCAGTTCCAACTCAGATGCAATAGCATGGCATCTAAATAATGCAACCAAGGTAATCAGCTCCTGGCTGCAAATTGATTCCCTCAGAATACAAAGCTTTGAAGGAAGAATTTCAAGACGGTGTTGCCCTTTGTCTTCTCCACTCTATGGTTGGAAAAGACTAGTGGCAACACCTTGCACAGTGCCCTGACTCTGGCTGAGTTCTTGCAGACAGCACTGCTGCTTGTCTTCCTTACCCTGGGGTGGAGAAGATGAGTGGGGATATCTTGTGGAAACCTATGGCTCTCGCTACGTTTGCAAGAGGGGGGCATTTTGACAGCAGCGGAAGTTAGGGGTGCAGTGCAGTGGGTGGTCTAGGGACTACACATGCCCTTTTCACCTCAGGTGGCAAAATTGGACACACCACCTCTGGTCCCAGATGAACATGGTTCTTGTGTGCAAGTGTCATATGAATAAAAACTAGATTTCTAGCAGAATCAAGCTATGGTCCACTGGACAGAGAACAAGCACTGGGACCCTGCAGCAACTCAGATAATTTGGAGACTCTCTGAACCAATGAGAAAGACAGCACTGGGAGCGTTCACTTTTGAACTGGAAAGCAAGGTAGTTATAGACCATTTGAACATTTAAATAACCACGGAGGAATTTTTCAATATGAACAGCATGTTTACCAGAGATACACAACGGCAAATCCATGTGCCCATCGATACACTTCCTGACTGAAGGAGCTGTGATGACATGTCCTTCCTTGCACAGGAACTGCAGGAACTGGTTATGCTGAATCGCCTGGGACCGTCTTCGCTTCCCAGGCAGGAGCAGGTCTTGTGCATCTAGCTGTTGTTTTGTGATACCACAAGGTGCTAAAAGAAAGAAAGGGAAGGGAGGCGGGGATCATCACTGGGACTCATTTCTCTGTGTGTCCTATTCCATTTGCCCTCTTTGTGCTTCAAGGTTAACTCATATCTGTTACTTCATATCAACTCACACAATAGGGACAGACTCATTTGCTGCACCCACTCAGTCATTCATTGTGGTTTCTGTCAACTTCCATTTAAGTCCTGAAAAAACCCATTAAGGTCAACATGGGAGTTAAAATAGTCTCTAACTTGCCACCCACTGAAATGTATGGGGATGTATTTAATAGCACCACCCTATAGATGCACTTCAGAAGTAACTCCCATTCAGTGCAATGGGCTTAATCCTTGGGATGGGGTATAGGATTACAGGCCTGTATGTCATTGGATTGTGACCCTTCTTTTCTTTTTTTTCCCCTCACAGTTTTGAGAAAAGGAACAAGAGCTCCAAGATGCAAACTGGCCCAAAGTGACATCTTGATTCCATGCTGGAGGTAGGATGTGAATTCAGATCCGGTCCAATTCTCAAACAATATGGCAACTCTGGCTATTCATGTTTGCACTAAATAACTCCGATCCAGAATGTGAATTCTCTAGTTTCCTCAAATTACAGCATTCTGCCCAATTATGCAAATCCATTGATCCATATTAGCAGAATCAAAGTAGCCATACAGTGTAAAGAAGAGGGATCTGTGATCCCTCAAATATTATTGAATTATACCTCATATCATGATGGGAGTTGCTGTCCAACAATAATCCAGAAGGCCAGCAGTTCCCAATTCTTGACAGAGTGTTTGAGTCCTCAAACATGGAGAAAGCAACTTTGCATGCAGATGAGTTTCCAGAGGCTATGTTGGACACCCCACATTTTGATTTAGAGTTTGCAATATTGAAAGTCAAGATGCCTCCTTACCCAAGCACCTGGGTGCAGGTGTCCACTTTTGCCCATGACATGTTATCCATTCAGTGCCTTCCAAGACATATCCAGGGTTGCATTTGTATTGTGTTCTGTCACCCTCCAAGTATCTGGCCTTCTCATCACTTATCATTTCCCCAAAATCAATGTCAGGTGGTTCTAGACAAACTGCAATTATATTTACAATCAATATCAACATTCTCACATTTTCCTGAAAGCACAGTAAATGTCAGGGAACATGCTGTGGAGGACTGCACTGAGGAGGAATGGTGGGAGCCTCCTCCTGCCCCCCGCCCCCCGCTCCTGATCCAGATCCTGAATTTTCCCAGGAGGACAGTATAGATTGGGAACAGTGGTTTGCAGAGGGGCATAGTTCAGAAGGCAGAAGCTGGGATATACTGGATGGTGAACACCTAGAAGAAGAAACACTGGAAGGGAGAGGGTTAACAGATTCACAGCCTCTAGACAGCATTCCTCCACTGCCCTCCCCAAAGCTAGAAGGGCTCAGAAAGTCACAGAACAGAAAGCACAGAGGGGACAAGCTCAGATTACGAGACGTAGAAGTGACTTATGTTCATAGGGACCGAAGGGGGTGGGCTATTTAATTGGGAGCACCGCTATTACTAAGAGATGGGTTCTTAGTTCTCTTTCTGTTATTACTAAAGTTTCTAACTAGTAAGAAGAATTCTTTTCCTTTGTTCTGCTTATCTACGGCTACGGGAAAGGAAGCCAATTCCCTGAAGCCTGACAGTAAATAAATAAAGCTGTACTTTGAAACCAAACACAAGTCAAATATTTTCCATTATTTTTTTAAAAAAGGTAAGCTGATGCTATCATTTTAATGTTATATGTTAACGTTTAGTTTTTAAAAAATATTTATCTGTTATAGCCTTATAGTTTTTGAACTAACTATAACTGGTAAAACACATTTTGAAGGTTGGAACTCTGAAAGACACATTGAAAATGTGTTAAATAAATGCATCTGAAATCCAATATTTTTCAAAATAACTGTCTATATTGGTAATCTTCAAGTATAAGCATTTATAAGGCTGAAATGCTCTACCATTTACAATATAATCATCATCATCATCATCATTTATTATTTGTACCCTGCCCATCTGGCTGGGTTTCCCCAGCCACTCTGGGCAGCTTCCATTAAAGATTAAACATACATTAAAATGTCACACATTAAAAACTTCCCTAAACAGGGCTGCCTTCAGATGTCTTCTAAATGTCAGATAGTTGTTTATCCCTTGGACATCTGATGCGAGGGCATTTACAAGTTGATATATTAATAAAACCATTACTGCTAAGTATACTGTTGAGCTTTTCATACATTAAAAAGTGTGGGCTCACCATTTTGGGAAGTACAGCATGTCCACAGAAGAAATGGAAGAACGGAGAACAGCCAGCTTTCCATAGCGTTGCTTGTTGCTCTGGACCACAGAATGCTCACTTTCTACAACTAATTTTTCTAATGACTGTCCTTGCAAAAAAAAAAATCACTGGTGGTTCATGGCTCTGTGCCATGAGAGGAGGAAGGATTACTGGAATGGGGAACATGAACTTTTAAACCAACAAGGAGTGTTTGCGAAAGATTTGCATTGGCACAGCACTTGGTGTGATGATGGCAGCTAGGCGGAACAGCAACAAACCTTTCTTACCAAGTTGCAAACTTCTGAGAAAGCCCTTTTAGCTGTACAGCAGCCACAAAATTAAAAGATGCCTGCTTCTTGGGAGAAAAGCAATGACAAACCTAGACAGCATCTTAAAAAGCAGAGACATCACCTTGCCAACAAAGGTCCGTATAGTTAAAGCTATGGTTTTCCCAGTAGTGATGTATGGACGTGAGAGCTAGAACAAAAAGAAGGCTGATCACCGAAGAATTGATGCTTTTGAATTATGGTGTTGGAGGAGACTCTTGAGAGTCCCATGGACTGCAAGAAGATCAAACGTATCCATTCTTAAGGAAATCAGCCCTGAGTGCTCACTGGAAGGACAGATCGTGAAGCTGAGGCTCCAATACTTTGGCCACCTCATGAGAAGAGACGACTCCCTGGAAAAGACCCTGATGTTGGGAAAGATGGAGGGCACAAGGAGAAGGGGACGACAGAGGATGAGATGGTTGGATAGGGTTCTCGAAGCTACCAGCATGAATTTGACCAAACTGCGGGAGGCAGTGGAAGACAGGAGTGCCTGGCGTGCTCTGGTCTATGGGGTCACGAAGAGTCGGAAACGACTAAACGACTAAACAACAACAAAACAGCAATGTGCACTACTAGGCAGAGCTAGCTCAGCTCCACCAGTGGCAGAGAAGCAACACCAGCACTGAAGCCTGTTGGCTTTTTGCAGTATGGCAGCGCTGCAGAGAGCTTGCTGGGGAGACCATGCATTAAAAAGGGACTCAAAAATAGCTTAAACAAGGTTTTAATTACAAAAACAAAAACTCCTTAAACACTAAATACATCAACAACAAACCAGACCCAACCACCAACCCATCCCCCAGGGTAATGGGAGAGCTAGGTGCTGCTCCTTATATACTACACCCAATTGCCAACACAGCTTAATCAATACAACTCAGCAGCACCTGCTATGTTTCACAGCTGTAAAGCTGGGTCTCGTTATCTTGCTCTGGCCCTTGCTTTGGCCCCTTAAAGACATACACATCGGGTGGAACAGTGATGAACCTTTACATTTAAAGAAACCATTCAACATTTCCCCTGCGGTTCATCATTGTGGAACAAAAACATAAAGCATATTTTGTACATGTCTTTCATGTGTAACCTTTGGAAGTGCTTTTGTAAAAATGTCCGCAATTTGATAGTCACCTGGAACATATTGAAATACAATCATTTCATCAGCAATTAGTTTCTTTACAAACTGCAAACGTAATCTTAAGACTCTAGTGCGCTGCGTATTGGTTTCTGAAGATAGGACAGCGAGTCCACTCTGGGAATCAAGGTAAACTTTTACTGGTAGTGTTACTTGCATCTGTAGGTCTGCAAATACTTGCAGATACCATTCTACATCACGAGTGGCCTGAATGCATGCACATAATTCCCTCTCTGTTGTGGAGAGACAAATAATGGTTTGTGTCTGGGACTTCCATTCAAATGGACAACCGTTATAACAAAACACCATACCAGACACACCCCTGCAATTATTTTGTTCCACTGCATGAGATGCATCGCAGAAAATTTCAAAGCCTTTGTCAATACTTGATGTAAACTGCAACCTATAATGTTTGGTATGTTTAAGGTACATTACCACTCTCTTAAGAGCAGAGAAACATTGTGTAGTGGGCTTTTCCACAAATTTTGCCAGAAAGTGAAAGGCATAAGTTATATCTGGTCTTGAGATTCTTTGAATGAAATTCAGCTTGCCTATAGCAGAATGATACAAAGTTTTGTTAGGAAATGGCTTATCTTCACCTGTAAAGGTGAAACCACACACCATAGGCGTTTGCTTCCCATTTGCATTTTTGTCATTCATTTTAACTCTATAAACCCATTTTGAATCAATAAGTCTCATATCTGGGGTTTGTGGTACAAGAGACCAAGTGTTATGCTCATTTAAAGAAGCTATCTCAGAGTTCATAGCTTTGTACCAATTTACAGCTTGGTGTTTAGGTAAATTCTGAACATCATTGTAGCTTTTTGGCTCAAAAACCGCCTTATTGGCATACACAGTATTAAAATGTTCATCTGCAAAACATTGTGACTTCTGTCTCTTTCTATCTGAACGTCTCAGTCCGGAAGGAGAGTCAGACTCCTCAGACTTAATGGGACTAAGTGAACTACTAGTTTCAGGTTGTAAATCACCATTGTCAGACTGAAGAGATGCCTGTAGGCTAAGCTCACGGACAGAAAACTCAAGAGAATCTAACCTCCCCTCGGGTGGCTGTGACTTTAAATCATCAAACAAATTATCAGATTCAACAGGCTTTTCGTCTTTTCCCATTAATTTAGAAGCACCATTTCCTGCTGCTGCTGCTGCTGCTTCCTCTTCTTCCTCAGTATTATCTATACCGTTAGTATCTTGGAAAATAGCAACGCCATTCCAATTTACAGTTTGTATCATGCTTCTGGTAATATGAAATTTGCCAGTTGCTGGTATGTAAATTCTGTACGCCCCCTGCTGGTAGCCCATTAATTTTCCCTGAACACTACGCTCACCCAATTTCTGCTTAGCGGGATAATGCATAATTACATCTGAACCCCAAATGCGTAGGTATTTCAGATTAAGGCGTTTTTTAAACAACTTCTCATAGGGGGTGACATCTAAACCAGAATGATAACTGCGATTTCTAACATGGCAGAACGCATTAAGCGCTTCAGCCCAAAAGTCTTTGGGCAGATTAGCATCGTGCAGATAAGTTTTAACACCTGCCTGCAGGTCACGCTGCACAACTTCAACAAGCCCATTTTGCCAGGGACTTCGGGGGCAAGATAACTCATGAGTAGTCCCCTGCGCTTCCAGGAATTTCTCAAAATCCTCAGAAACAAATTCCCCGCCCCGGTCAGAAAACAGGTTCTTAATAGGTTTGTTAAAGTGCGTTTTTACCCAGTTGCAAAAAACTTTGTACTTCTCAAATGCTTGTGACTTTTCAGCTATTGCATAAGTCCAACAATATCTACTATACTGGTCTATCAGGGTAAGCCAGTACTTAGAACCTCCTAAGGATGGTGGGAGTGGCCCAACTAAATCACAATGTACACGCTCAAATGGCTCAGTTACTTTCCTATCTGAGCACCTACCCTTGCGTGCAACCTTAATCTTATTCTTGCAACAAGATAGACATTGCATAAAGAATTTGCATGGTTTTAAGTTGAGGCCATTAACAATATTCTTTGTCTTAATTACATCAGCAAAATTCAGATGTCCCAGAATTCTGTGCACCTCATGGACACACCCAGAATGTGGCCTTACATTCCTCAACCCCTGGCTTGACTGTGCTACTGTGCAGTTTATAGGCGATTGGGAGTAGGTGTGAAAATACAGTCTATATAAACCATCAGATTCCCGGGCATACAATAGACGTTTGTTCCCTTCGAAAAACTCACACATTGACTTTAAGAAACGCACAGTTATGCCTTGACGAGCAAAACACCTTACTAACAATAAATTGTCCACTGACGGGCAGTAAATGCAGTTCGCCATAGTAATGTTTAAAGAGTCAAGTTTAACAGTACCCCTGCCAAGCGACTGCAAGACTTGTGAATTGGCTAAATGTACATTACCAATTTCCTCTTCGAAAGAAATAAACAAGCTTCGATCGTTGCAAACGTGCTGAGATGCTCCTGAGTCCACAATAAAAGAATTCCACTTGGCACCTTTAATTCTTTTACCATCTGTTATCCGAGCATGAAAAGCTCGGGGCTCGTTTCTGTCTCTACTATACAATGTCGGCTGCTGGGCTGACGACCTTGACTGACGAACAGAAACAGACTTGGGAGTACTTTGCTTTCTTTTGGCTCTGCAGTCCTTTGCAAAATGTCCCTGCTTATGGCAGAACCAACAACGCTTTGCAGCTTTAAATGCAGTTGTATCACCACAAGTTTGGATATGGTGTTCCTCATTCTTTTTGGAAATAGGAGTGCTTATGGCACAAGCCTCCCTTCTGTCCAACTCGCCCATTAATCTTGCCGTTACCCCTTCCACAGTTAATTGTGCTGGTGGAACTGCAGATATCTGGCTAGCTATACCATCAAAGTCCTCATTAAGGGAACAAAGGATGATAAAAACATACTGAATATCAGGTATCTCCATGCCCCTTCGAATTAATTCGCAGCGTATTGCCTCCAGACGTCTCAAGTGTGCTGCCAAATCACCACCAGGCTGCAACTTCGTCTGGTACAACTGCTTGAAAAACGTCAATGCAGACGCTGACTCTTTTCTAATATGCGCTGCTGCAAGACTGTCCCACATTTCTTTGGCAGTTTTCTTATTTCTTATATAGACTACTTGCTGGTCGCTGACTGCCAAATTAATTATTGCCCTGGCTTTTGCATCTCCTTTCGACCAAGCATTAGTTACAGGGTCAGGAGGGTCATCAGTTACATAGGTCCATACTTCTCTAGAGGTCAAAAGCGCCTCCACCCAAAAAGACCATAAACAATAGTTCTCATCTGTCAGCTGTGGGAAGACCAGAGCCTTCTCAGCTTCTGGAACCCGGTCAACCATTCTGGAACTCTTCCAGACCCACAGAACTACACCAACAGGAGAAGGAGTTTTCAAACCTTTCTCAGAGTCCAAAAATATGCAGTCATCCACTCAGCAGCTGGGCCCATAACCAAAGATGTTGGCTATTTGCAGTATGGCAGCGCTGCAGAGAGCTTGCTGGGGAGACCATGCATTAAAAAAGGACTCAAAAATAGCTTAAACAAGGTTTTAATTACAAAAACAAAAACTCCTTAAACACTAAATACATCAACAACAAACCAGACCCAACCTCCAACCCATCCCCCAGGGTAATGGGAGAGCTAGGTGCTGCTCCTTATATACTACACCCAATTGCACCTGCTATGCACCTGCTATGTTTCACAGCTGTAAAGCTGGGTCTCATTATCTTGCTCTGGCCCTTGCTCTGGCCCCTTAAAGACATACACATCGGGTGGAACAGTGATGAACCTTTACATTTAAAGAATGGATGCACAAGGGCCATCTTATCCATTAGGGTTAGTGGCGCCCTGCGCCAGGGCACCCATCCATCAGTGGCACCCAGCAGTGGGAGTCCGGGACATGCTGAGCGGCGGCTGCTCTTCCTACGGCCAGCTGTGCTCTCTCGCTTCCTGCCTGGGAGAGGAGGTGGTGGTGGTGGCACGCAAAACTACATGGCGCCCTTCTCCCTCCTGCCCGCCCCGTGGCAGTAGCGGGACTGCTGAGGAAGCCCGCGTGGCAAGCGAGCCTTGAGCTGCCCAGCTCAGGGGGCAAGGAGGACAGGGAGGGGGAGAGGTGCCAAGAACATCACTTGCACCACGGCGCCAAATATGCTTAAGATGGCCTGGCAGGCACCACTTCTCTGCCAGTGCCAGGTGTTGCAGGGCACACAGTGGAGGCAGTGGTGGCAAAGGGTCGTTCTAAAGGAATTATAATATGGGTAATTAAAAGTTGCATTGAGCTTTATTCCATGAAAGAAGAAAGGGTTAATCTATCCCACTCACTTGAGTGGACTCCAAGCACAAACAGTCACGTAGAAAAAACAAGTTCCTGCCAAGTAAATTCCCAGGAACAATGCGGATGTAATAACTTGCCATCTGTTTGCTTAAAAAAACAACAACTGGTTTCAAATGGAATTGATTGAAGGGAAAGTGAAATTACTGAAGGCCGCATACAGCATACTATTAGAATGGGAGACGAAAGATGAAAAGGTAAAATCAGTCTTGATTAAATGGGCAAAATATATAGGTTACAACATTATGATGGAAGATTGGGAAAAATTATGGAAAACTGTTTTAAAATTTACAGACTGTTCCCTGTTGAAAGAGAGTTATATGAAGATGATGTACAGATGGTATGTGACACCAGTGCAGCTAGGGAAAATGTACCAAACTAGTTCAAATATACGTTGGAAGTGTAAGGAAAAGGAGGAGACATTTTATCATATGTGGTGGGACTGTAATAATAATAATAATAATAATAATAATAATAATAATAATAATTTATTATTTATACCCCGCCCATCTGGCTGGGCCTCCCCAGCCACTCTGGGTGGCTTCCAAAAAATCTTAAAATACTATAATACATCAAACACTAAAAGCTTCCCTAAACAGGGCTGCCTTCAGATGTCTTCTGAAAGTCTGGTAGTTGTTGTTCTCTTTCACATCTGGTGGGAGGGTGTTCCACAGGGATGGCGCCACTACCGAGAAGGCCCTCTGCCTGGTTCCCTGTAACTTGGCTTCTCGCAGTGAGGGAACCGCCAGGTAACTGTAATGTAAATTAAAAAATTTGGGAAATGATATGTAACAAATTGAAGAAAATGTTCCATCTAACATTTGTCCAAAAAAACCTGAAACATTTTTGTTAGGGATTGTAGGGAAAGACCTGCCAAAAAAGCTGAAAAACATCTTCATGTATGCGACAACGACCGCAAAAGTCCTAATAGCACAACGATGGAAGACTGAAGAAATGCCAACTAAAGAATCATGGCAAGAAAAACTGATGGATTATGCAGAACAGGCAAAATTGACACATAAGCTATGAGACAAGGATAACTGTGACTTTAAAGATGAATGGGAACCCTTTACAAAGTATTTGAAGAGGCAACAAAGTGAATTGGACTCCTTGGCAGATTTCGAATAAACATTCACAAACTTTTTACAGTGGTGCCTCGCAAGACGAAATTAATCCGTTCCGCGAGTGTCTTCGTCTAGCGGTTTTTTCGTCTTGCGAAGCAACCCTATTAGCGGCTTAACGGATTAGCGCTATTAGCGGTTTAGCGGCTATTAAAGGCTTATCGGCTTAGCGGATTAGCTGCTAAAAGGCTATTAAAGGCTTAGCGGCTTAGATAAAGGGGGGGGAAAGCGGAAAAAAAATCTCAAGACTCGCAAGACATTTTCGTTTGCGAAGCAAGCCCATAGGGAAATTCGTCCTGCGAAGCAACTCAAAAACGGAAAACCCTTTCGTCTAGCGGGTTTTCCGTCTTGCGAGGCATTCGTCTTGCGGGGCACCACTGTATTGACAATAATAAGTCAAACAATTTAAGGATCTATACAACTTTGTAACATGCAGAGAAGAGCATTTACAGAGAAACCAAAGACTGGAACGGAGGGAAGTTGGGGGTGGGGTGGGGCTTTGTGTGGGAGGGAGGAAAATGAAGGATGATATGTGTCAGGGAACTGCCATCAGCTCAGAGGCGAGAGGTGGAAGGGCAGCTGGGTTACAGGGAGCCTCCCAAGATCGTGAGAGGAGGGAAGCCCCGCCTCTAGTGGGGAAGGGATGCAGGGCTCGGAGGATGCAAGAGAGAGCCAAGACACTGTGCATGAGCAAAGCGGGGGGGAGGCAGGTCCCCCTTTCGCCATGCCCTCTTTGCGCAGTAGGTTTATGCGCAGAGAGGGGAGGCGTCGGATGGGTGTCAAGAG